CCGTGCACTATTTGGCAATAATGGTCTGACAGCCCTGGATCGAAGTTGGAAATTTGGAAAATATGTGGTATGTTGGTAATTATATAATCTATTGAGGTATAACTGGTATACGCGATGTTAGTATAAACTCTTGTGAATTCTGTGATCAATGATGTAATTCCAAACGAACTTAATATATCAGACAACATTTTTGCACTTAATGTGTTACTGAATTGGTCAATATTCAAATCGCCACCAATAATTACGAATTTGAATTTTTTTAATGCTAAGCTTAGAAGTTTGGAAAACTGTGTAAAAAACAGCTCTGTATCATTCGGATCATTAGAAGGGGGCCTATAGATGTTTACAACGTAATATTCTTTTTTATATGACAATGCGCAGCATTCGATGCTTAAAGATTTGATGAATTCAATAGGTATACATTCAGAAAATATTGTATTTTTGACAAAGATGGAAGCACCACCATTATTATGCCCCGTACGAGAGAAGTGGGTTAGAGATTTGAAATTTGCAATGAATATATTGTCTAAGTCAGTGTCCTTATACCAGTGCTCGCAAATCAACAGAATTGTAAAATTATAATTTGCTATGAAGTGTTCAACCGGATCAATTTTGTTGGACAGATATTGTATGTTGATATTCAATGCACAGAGTGTTTCACTCTCACTAAGACCATCAGTTGATTACATTAGCTCTTATATAGCACCCCTGTAGGATTAAGAATTCAGATTTACCAATGGGCTGACCCCTCAGTTCACTTTTAGCATACATATTTATGAAAAGCTTGAAGACCATCATAGTAAATTCCGACCTGGTTGAAAAACATATTCATTTTTGGTACAGATATGTAGACGATATTCTTGCTCGTTTCAGAGGTACTACACGACAGCTGAACCAATTTATGACATTCATGAACAATCTCAATAGCGACATTCAGTTCACACTCGAAACAGAGATAGTGAAACAGACAATTTTCTTAAACTTTCCATTACACAGAATCAGAATAAATGTTTTCAGAAAACCTTGCTATACAGACATTACCATCCCAAGCGATTCTTTCCATCCAGACAGTCATAAATTAGCAGCCTACAATTCAATGTTGCACAGATCATTCTCATTGCCTTTGTCTGCTAACAATCTAGCTAGGGAAATTTATATAATTATACAGATATGTCATAATAATGGTTTTAACGCAGATACTATCCAGAAGTTAGTCAGGAAATAAAGCCGTAAATTCACTTACAGATTAATATACCCTCAGGTCACACAACCAGAAATCAAGAAATGGGTAACTCTAACATATTTTGGAAAAAGAACAGAGATAATTGCGGGTTTCTTCAGAAAAAACAAAGTGGAAGTGGCATTTAGACCACATGCCAGGTTATCTGATTTCCTTTTCAATGCCAAAGATAAGGTGGACAAGTTGGAGTAATCTGGAGTTTATAAGCTATAGTGTCCGGAGTGTTTGTGTGGGACAATGTGGTCGAAATTTCCAAAAACGGTATGCTGAACATGAAAAGTCCTTTAGACTAGGAAACATCCTTGAAAACGCAAAAGCATAAACATTGCATGTGCAACCTGTTAAATGATCAAATCGATTTAGTTTACTCACCGGTTTTCAAATTAGCATATCCGCATTGTAAACTGTGAATTCAGGTACTCAATCAAGCCAAGTACCTTTATTAGTACCTACAGGGGTGGTATATAAGGGCTATTGCAATGAACCATTGTTAGTTTATTGAATACGTTTGAAAATGTCCGTATAGGATGAAACTGCAGTAAAGTTAGTTACAAATGAAAGTGGTTAAAAACCTTGGATTACATTTCTACAAAAAATTATTCAACTTGTGTTTTCCATTCAACTATTCATTCTCTAGAAGACTCCGCCAACCCCTTTCACACCTAACGGTCTTGGTTGAGCAATATCATTAGCCAATTTGAAGCAGGGCAAACCTCCATACCATTTTTCTTGTAAGATGTCCATGTAACCATTACTGGAGTATTTGGCTATTACGGCTGACACGCTGTCCTGAAAATAAACCCAACGAAAGTTATGAGTTAGTAAGTTAGAGACAAGTTGAATTATACATGGGCTAAAAAGTCCTAAGCCTGAGAGAAAAACTCGTCTTTTTTTGTTCAAAATTGGCTTTATTTATCAACGACAGCCACACATTATTTCCAGCGCCGCTCTAACATTATAATACCACTTTTGTAGAACGATTCATCTTTTGATAAATTGATGGATGTATCCATTATTACGTGGAAGGGAATTATAATAAAGAAAAGAGAATTGAAACTTTCTTTGTTTTTGACACTTTCATTTGTAACTAACGTTACTGCAGGTTCGTCCTATAAGGACATTTTCAAACTTATACATTAAACTAACGATGATTGATTACATCAGTTCTTATATAGAACCCCTGTAGGATTAAGGATTCAGATTTATCAATCACCCCTTAGTCCACTTTCAGCATACATATTTATGGAAAGCTTGAAAACCACCATATTAAATTCAGACCTGGTTGATAAACATATTCATTTTTGGTACAGATATGTGGACGATATTCTCGCCTGTTTCAGAGGTACTACACGACAGCTGAACCAATTTATGACATTCATGAATGATCTCAATAGCAACATTCAGTTCACCCTCGAAACAGAGATAGTGAAACAAATAATTTTCTTAGACCTTCCATCACACACAATCTAAATAAATGTTTTCTGAAAACCTAACTATACAGACATTTCCATCCCAAGCGATTCTTTCCATCCAGACAGTCATAAATTAGCAGCCTATAATTCAATTTTGCACAGATCATTCTCATTGCCTTTGTCTGCTAACAATCTAGCTAGGGAAATTGATATAATTACACAGATAGGTCATGATAATGGTTTCAATACAGATACTATCCGGAAGTTAGTCAGAAAACAAAGCCGTAAATTCACTTACAGATTAATATACCCTCAGATCACACAACCAGAAATCAAGAAATGGGTAACTAAGATATTTTGGAAAAAGAACAGAGATAATTGCGGGTTTCTTCAGGAAAAACAATGTGGAAGTGGCATTTAGACCACATGCCAGGTTATCTGATTTCCTTTTCGATGCCAAAGATAAGGTGGACAAGTTGGAGTAATCTGGAGTTTATAAGCTCTAGTGTCCGGAGTGTTTATGTGGGACAATGTGGTCAAAATTTCCAAAAACGGTATGCTGAACATGAAAGGTCCTTCAGACTAGGAAAAATCCTTGAAAACGCAAAAGCATAAACATTGCATGTACAACCGTTAAATGATCAAATCTATTTAGTTTACTAACCGGTTTTCAAATTAGCATATCCGCATTGTAAACTGTGAATTCAGGTACTCAATCAAGCCAAGTACCTCTATTAGTACCTACAGGGGTGGTATATAAGGGCTAATATAATAAACCATTGTTAGTTTATTGTATACGTTTGAAAATGTCCGTATAGGACGAAACTGCAGTAAAGTTAGTTACAAATGAAACTGGTTGAAAACCTTGGATTACATTTCTACAAAAATTTATTTAACTCGTGTTTTCCATTCAACCATTCATAATTTTCTCAAAATGTCTATTCAAGATTTTATTTTACTGCCTATATTGATTACTTGGGTTCTCTTGTTCAATATTATTCTGTTGAATTTTATAACTTTACGTAAGTAAGTTAATCCCTATCATAGTCATAACGCTGGACATACTAAATTATTATCAGTTACGGTTACGAATCTAATTTTGGACAGAAATCGATTTATCGTGATGGAATTATAATTTATAGTACAATTTCTGGAGGGATAAAAAATGTAATATTGCTCATAAATTCAAGAATCAATTGGAATTTTCAATATGTTCAAATATAGCCGGAATCATCTGAATGTTTTTTATTGATTCTGGATGATTTCGTAATTGACAGTATACTAATAATAATTATTTTACTGGTGTTTTCTTATTCAACTATTCATAATTTTCTTAAAATCTTCATTTTTGTTTCAAGCTTCCACTCACAATCATAATGTTCACTGATCATATTGATTACTTGTGTTTCCTTGTTTGGTATATGAAATTATTACAATGTGTTAAAACAACGATAAAAATAAAATAAATACAACAATAAAAATTAATTGGCGCTCCGGGGCGACTTCATTGATTCCAGAAACGAATTCGATTTTTCAGCTGCAGGAAAACCCGGAAAAACCTGCAGCACCACATCATCTGAAGATCTTGATCTAACAATGTCCTCTCTCTCATATAACAAAATGTAGGGTGTCTCCACAGGAAACATTCTCGTTCTCGTTCATCATTAAAACTTCGTTCTTGAAATTCTTCGTCATGAAGAATTTCATTGAATTGTTTGGTATTTCATTATTTTGTAAAAATTTGTAACTTCAGGTAATTGACTTAATTATTTAATCATGAATGAATGAAATTATTAATACTATTGATAATACAGGTACTCCCTATTCACAATAATCTTATATTTCTTGGGATAATGAAGACAATGCCATTGCCATGGGATGGTCGGAGAGTATGATATTATCAGAATAAAGAATATTCGTAGGTAGTCAAATTTCTGTTTGTGGAAATGATGATTATTTAGATGCCAGTTTCAGATTGATGGACTTCTACATTATACAATATTACCACTTTGAAGAATAAATAATCGTAAGCGTAGAATGGCTAGTTTTGCTCCCTATTCCCCTCTATTCAGTATTCACTATCAGTTCCATAATACTTTATCCACCATGTCAGTGAAACTGTCTACATAGGCAATATTCGATGATTTGATTATCAGAGTCTATAGAAGGTGGCGGATAATATTGGTAATTTTGATATTTCATTGGGAATACTTTGTTCTGAAGGTCTGACAAGGAAAAATGAAATATTCACATGGTTTGCAATGTGTAGACCATCAATGAATTGACCGTTTCAATGCACTTTGTTTTTGAAAATTTGTGTTTGCTTCATTTGTAGAGATGTCACATAATATTTGATTCACAAGTGAAGAAATGTTCATTGAGTATGGCTTTTTATGTGGTACATTCATATTTCCATTCTATACGTGTTCAAAATATTCTTTATTCTGTTCTTGTGCTGAGAGGTGGTGCTATTTACAAAACTACTTCTACGCTCTTTAATTATTTGGGAAAATGTTCTCCCTGTTTGGCCAAGTCACAGTCTTCATGAGGAAAGTCAAACCAAGTAGACTTGGTCCTTGGCTTGCTTCTGTAGTTTTATTGAAAATAATGGAGTCGATAATATCTACCTCATAACCGTTATTGACCGCGATTTGTTTAATCAAACTCAGCTCTCTTTGGAAATTACTCTTAGACAGTGGAATATTCAGTAGTATGTGGAGCATACTATTAAATGCAGCTACAATATGCTGGTAAAGGTGTATGGAGGAATTATGTATGATAATATTTTTTCAAATGTGGGGACTGGTACATAACCACAGGTGATTTAATTGATTTGAAACTTATGTACATAAAGTGGTCAGGTAAAACTCAGGTATATATAGAATAGAGTGTAGCAAATTATCTGCAATATATACAGACCAAACCGGTAGAAACTTTGACGTAAGGATCCGTGAACACGTCTGTTTGGACAAAAAATGCACAATGTATGAAATTTTCTAAAAACAAAACACAGATGAGTGGAGATAACCTCAAAATCCTACATATACCTGTGTAATAAAGGTAAGAAAATGAATTTGTTGGAAGCCATGGAAATCAACAAAACGAGCAACTCGATTTATGTAGATCTCCATTCTTAAATTAATAAGTTTGGCAACCCATAATCTTCAGTGTTGACTTTTATGGTTGGCACCCTGGTTCATTCAACTACCTCTTCTTCTAGGTTACCTTAAAACTTTCACATTTCAGTTTTATACTTAATGATGGTGTTAAACCCGAAACCGATCGTATAAATAAAATCAACTAGTGGTGATTAGACAAAAGTGTTTTTATTCATTTCATTAAAGTAATCATGAATTACCACAAAATAAACAAGGCATTAATCACACACACTAGCCATCTAGCCACTGATCAACCCTTAACTATCAATTACCTTAAGAGGGAACCCCTTTGTCATTCCGATGGCATACGTATCCTCGTTGATTGTTTCTCCGATCTTCTGTAATTTGCAGCCGTGATCGGTTGCCCGATAATAATCTAAAATCGGAGTGTCTGCTATCAAAATATCCAGTGTGCCATTTCTCAATTTCTCCACCCCTTCTTCGACGCTCTGTAAACTGTATGGGGCCATGTGTTGCCACAGGTACTGATTTGCTTTTTGTACGTAAAACTCTGCTGCTGACGATCGAGGAGCTCCCACTTTCTGACTCAGTAACTGAAAAATAATGAACGAGATAAGAGCTGTTCGTCTAATTGAATGGAGAAAAAATAATTTCCCGAATTTTTGGTTACATGAGATACTGTACAATTCCATAATAGTAGGCACTTAATTCTCAGAATGATTATGGCATTAAAATGAAAACATTGTTGTTGAGGTTGTGGTTCTATATATTTCATCATCAGTTTTCATCTGTTTAATATAATTTTTTCTAAGATTTTCAAAGCTTCGATTTGGTGGCCGTTTCTTGTTGAGTGAGTAGGCAATGTGACACATTCGAACCTAACACAGATTAGTTCGTTCTATATTCTATATATAACAATTGAAAAATATATGATTTTTATTGAAGTGAGAGATGATTCATTTGCAGATCTAAGAATGAAACCTAATATTTTCTGTGCTATGGAAGTAATATTTGCAATATGGGGTTTAAATGTAATTGGCTAATAAGAAGACCTGAATTGTGGGATATTCAACCGAAATAACGAACACATTTGGAGCATAAACAACCCCAGGCAGTTCCTAAAGTGCGATTTAGTATTTACCTCATACATACCTCACTTATCAAAATTTGATTGTTGATTCTGTCTCCGTAATTTTTCATTGGCTTTTCAAACGAACCAAACTCGGGTAGATTTCGATCCAATATCTTAAACATAGTTCGATGTGGTTGCCGTCTTTTGGGATACAAGTTTAATTACATTTCCGATGTCTTAACACTGTTTCTATCGTATTTGTAATAAATTTGTATCATCGCTTTTTTCTTCATTCATCATTTGCCAAAAATTCAATGACTTGTACAATAACAAAATGTCATTGAGTATAACAATATGAAAGTCAAATTTAGAAACATTATAGCCAAAGCCTATAATGATAAGAAATAATTTTGTTCAATATCTCCAATTTTTCGAAGAAAAAAAAATGATAACTTACGATACATCATTGAAAAGGTAAAACCTGGTTTTATTCAAAATTGATGAAATCCAATGTAGCGCCCTAAGAAAAAATAAAGTTGATGATGGTGGCCAGAAGACGAAACGTCGGATAGGGGGATGGAATTTATTTTCTATTTCTATAGACGAATAAACATATATCAAAAATAAATAATCCAGTCAGAGTTAAAATGTTCAGTTTTTTGAAAAGATCTCTGCAAGAGTGTTGTCTTGATTTTCCTGCTGAACACCTTACGATTCTTTTTTGTGCAATAAATGTGTTCCTAGGATGTATGGAGTTGCCCCAGAAATGAGTCCCATATCTCAAACGAGATTCCACGTGTGCATGGTAGAAGTTCATAATTTTTTTACTGAAAAATGTGCTAGAAGTACGCCCAAAAAAGTTATGAATCTTTAAGAAAGAAAAAGACGTGTAGGTGGCGCCCCCTACGAGTAAGAGCAATAAGAACATCAGGTTCGAATTCGACACCTCAAAAACCTTCTATTACCAAGTTTCGTTTAATTATGTACAGTATTTCAAAAGTTATTTGAAAAAAACGAAAATAAAAATAAAATTTCAACATCCTGTATCTTGGAAACGAAGCGTTTCCGGACATTTATTTATCTGCACAATTAATATTAGAATATTGAGGAATCACCTCCTGAAGTTTGTCAAAATACTTCTGAATCATCCTGTAGATTCGCATTCATTTTGTAAGATATTGTTTGATTTGTTGAAATAATCAATGATATATCATCGGCATATAATGTAAATTGTATCCTAGAAAATATTGTACCGATTTCATTAATGTAGAGAAGAAGTAGTATAGGGCTCAAACTAGAGTCTTGCGGGACACCTACATTGAGATTCATCATCTTGTGTTACCTGAATGGGACTTGATTTCAATTATGTGATAGTGTGTTCTCTCAGAATGATGATACCTGATAGTTTTCTCTAGACAAAAACACTCAACTTATAAAAGTATTATCTATTATCCATAGCTCGGGCTGGAATTATTCCTATTAGCCGGGAGTGAATTTAAATACAGGGATCATAATCCTTTTCAAACAATATAATCGGAGTTCCGCATCATAAGATATGTCATTTATCAGACATAATTGATAGAATGCCACCGGTGATTGATGGGTTTTGTGAGATGATGAAAAGAGATGCAGAGAGGGAAACCGGAATATGGATTATATTATGATAACAAGCAGTAGATTTGAATTGATTATCCGACGAAATGCGTGTCCCGAGACTCAGTTAGTGCAAATATCTCGATATAAGTTTGGATGACTGATTTTGCACACAGAAAATCATCCCAGGCTTTCATCAAGGATGTCACATGAATGATGGAACAGTTGTTCATATTTTCCTAACACTGAGTTCACAGTAGAGAGATTTTCCCAGGTTTCCATGAAAAAATATAGTTTTAAAATCACTATTCTATCAGAAATTCTGATTCTGTAGTTATGGAATACATTCATTTATTTTGCTGTCAATTCATGAACGAAAGGTGGATATTTCTATATTATTATTTTAACGTTTTTCAAAAAGACTTTATTGTGAAATTTTCACTGAATGCAACACGTGTTTCACCATACAATGGAGTGTCTTTACTTTGAGCAAAGACACGACAGTTTCTAAATTTTATCCACCCCAACATTTTACCTCAACTCTAGTGGTGTATCGAAATATTGAAAGCAAATANCTTAAGGATTTCCCTGTAGTGCTCGTGTATTTCCTTTTAAAAATTACAAAAGTGGGAATTTCGTCACACTACAGTTCATTGTGAAAATTTAATTCCAAAAAAATTTTTTTAAATGTGAAAATCGAATAAGTGTAGTTTCAACTTACGCTCCTGTCGTGATAATTGCTGACGGTAAGGTGGAAGAACAGCCCCGCAATCAGAGCTGCAATATTAGCGGTGTAGCTGGCGACGAATATGACTGAGAACCCTCCCCAAACGTTGATTAAAAACTTATTCGGCCAACTCTTGGGGGCCTTGAATGCGACAAGATGGCCGCACAACAATCCCCACATCACCCAGAGAGCCGAACTCATGCTGAAATTCTTGGATCGTTGCCTTCCCCAGGGATTCAGGCCGAAAGGACTCAGCCACTCGTAGATAGCCACTGCGATAGCAGTTATGTTCAGACCTAGTTTGGAAGAAAAAAGTTATATTAGCGTCGGAGCTGTAAAACTTCGAGAGAAATTGAACGCTTTTTTTCGCGCTTTTTATTTTCGTGAATGAGTGATTGCATGCAACATTCAGAAGTAAATGGTTACAGGCATGGCAGAGAGGACGAATGGTTGAATACTGGGCGAATTTTGAATCGTCGAATGTACATTTGAAAATGGAATTTTGTCACACTTAGTATGTTTTACTCATTAGTCTTGTTGGTGAAAAATAGAGGTGATGGTCGAAAAAATACGTGTGATGGCTCATTCGATCCGGAAGGATATCTAAAAAAATTGTTCTGCAACCGTTTTTGAGCACAAATGGAATTAATAGAACTGGCCGATACTGGATGAAAATCCATATTAAAATCAATTATTACAGTTTGTCAAGAATGGGAAAAAGTTTCAAAATCTTAATTTGAGACCGCCTTAGCTGTGCGCAGAAGACAGGAATGGAAACGTCCACAGCCCACTCAGTCGAATTTGTCTGTTGTGAAGTGAGCATCGCGGATTAACCGAGTTTACAGTCCGAGGAGAAATAAAGCGTGAAGCGTACAATTTGATTATTGTAACTCAACCAGGATGGAGTTTAAATCAAACCTAAATCGTAAAGTGCCGACAAGTCAAACGAGGGAAGTTATAGCCAATTTATTTTTTTTATGCAAAAAGAAGCGGCAGAAAATAAAACCTATGAAAGACTTTGAAAAAGTTCAAGAAAGAGCTGCTATGTCAATTGGCGTGAGTTTCAGCAGTATACAATGAATTTCAAAGGAAATGAAATCGATTGAGAATGGAGAAGCCGCTGCTTTTTTGACACCAAATATGAAAAGGAAGAAAGCTGCAGTTGAAACTAACTCAGATGGTTTTGATAAAAGCCTTTTTCGAAGATTTGTTAATAAATATTGTACTGTCGATAAGAAGATTCCAACTCTTGGGAATTTTCGGAAATTTAAATCCGAAAATAACTATGCTGGTTCCTATGAAAGCTTGAGAAAAGTTATGCATGACATGGGATTTCGTTGGAGGAAAACAAAAAATAATCGAAAACTATTAAAGGAAAAGTCAGATATCGTTTAGTTGAGAACGAATTTTTTGCGAAGTATGGAAAAATTCCGAGAAGAAAAGCGACCCTTAATTTTCATTGACAAAACCTATATACATTCTTCGCATACCCACATAAAAACCTGGAATGTCAAAAGTAGTGGAGGTTTACATTAAACAGTATCAAAAGGGCAAGGACTAATAATAGTGAATGCTGACAGTGAAAGAGGTTTTGTGAAAAATGCTTATTTAAAATTTAGATCAAATACAAAGTCAGGTGATTATCATAACGAGATGAACTTCACGAATCATTTCTCCTGGCTACAAGAGATGCTTATTCCTAATCCACCAACAAAGAATGTTTTAGTGATAGACAATGCTGCCTATCACAATGCGCAGGTAAATGAGTCTCCTACTTTATGTAATAGATCGAAATAAAGGCAACGAAATATACTTTTAACAGAAGATATGTTTTGTATTACCGCGTTGGTTCGAGAAAGTTCTGGTTCGAGCTAGTGTATTCCGATCACCTCGAGGTAGCAGTAATGATTACATATAAAAAGGCTAGCGGCGCAACTGCGAGTTAGTCTGCGTAGGAAAGGTGAAGAAAGCGAAACTGTCTATTGTGAAATAAAGTAACACCCGTCAATAAAAGTATTTTGATTTGACTTATTGTTTTTATGTGTGATTTGTTAGTATGGAAAAGAAGCAAAAAATCGACAGTGAAAGCAGAACGTTCCAAAAAAATGAAACTTTCAGTATTTTGTGATTGAGTCCAGTAATAAGGCGCTATGTTTAATTTGTAATGAAACCATAGCTGTT